AAAAGGGGTGACCCAGAGCTCCCCGCAGACGGCAGCTGCAGCTGCTGGTTATGCACGACTGTCCACCGCGAGCGTCACTTGACTCCCTCAGGTGGGACACTGTTGTCAAATCCGTCACTTTATAGGCGTTTGGTGGGCAGTCTAGTCTATCTTACTGTCACTCGTCCTGATATCTCATATGCGGTTCATCAAGTGAGTCAATATCTATCAGCTCCAAGATCGCTACACTATGCTGCCGTTCTACGCATCCTTCGTTATCTAAAGGGTACTCTTTTTCATGGCCTTTTCTATTCTGCTGAGTCGCCTCTAGTTCTTCGAGCATTCTCCGACAGTGATTGGGCTGGAGATCCCACTGATCGCAGGTCAACTACTGGTTATTGTTTTCTTCTTGGCACATCTCTAATATCTTGGAGAAGTAAGAAACAAACATTTGTTGCCCGATCCAGCACTGAAGCAGAATACCGTGCTCTTGCGGATACCACATCTGAGCTACTTTGGCTTCGATGGCTTATCAAGGACTTAGGAGTATCAACATCCTCTCCCATTCCTCTTCATTGTGACAATCAAAGTGCTATCCATATTAGTCACAATGATGTCTTTCATGAACGGACTAAACATATTGAGATAGACTGTCATTTTATCCGTTCACACATTATTCAAGGTGTTCTCAAGCTCTTCTCGGTCTCTTCCAAAGATCAGCTTGCAGATATCTTCACAAAGCCTCATCCTAAGGGACGTCATCGTGATTTGATCTACAATCTCAAGTTGGTTTCTCACCCTCCTTGAGTTTGAGGGGGGCTGTTAATGTATATTCTTAGGAAATAAGTTAGGGATTTGATTTGATATACTTTACATAAGTTAGAGATTTGATTTGATATGCTTTACATAAGTTAGGAGATTTGATTTCATTGTAATTAGTAATTTCCTTGTATAGCTTTCTCTCTAAGTGTATAAATAGTGCCTCCTATGGAGAAGAATAAACATCAAATTTTTCTCAATTCAACTAACATTACTTAATATGAATATATATTGTCAAATGATGTACCTTGGACACGTGTATATTATGTAACGTAACCATGTGAGGCTAAAACAAATGGTTGTTTCTAAAAGTCAACCACCATAAGTATTTGCAAACTATATTAATTAATCTTTGAATGCACTTAAATATTGTCCCGTTTGATATATACCTATAGCAAATTACCCCAATAGTATTTGTCCTTTATATTTACTCAAAAAAAAAGTATTTGTCCTTTATTTTATATTTTTGAAATTGTTATTATTATTATTATTATTATTATTATTATTATTATATATATATATATATATATATATATATATATACTAATTATAAATTATATATGTCATGGTTGAATTAGCTCTACGCGTGAAATATCTATTTCTTTATTTCTTAATCAAGAAATAATTATAAAATTTTATGATAATGAAGTTATCTCAATACTGCATTAGGTGCAATGAATTTGGTGCATCATCTATTTTGGATTATACATACAAACGACTTTGTATTACGTGTGTGAGATTCGCGTTCGAATATCACTACGTGTACATTCAGTGGCGGAGTCAGCATATCAATTTATATATAAATTCCTTTTAGAATTAAATCTTAATTTCAGAATTATTTGAAATGCTTAGTTCTAAAAATCTGCTGCATGAATAAAAATATAGTTTCATGCAAACGCAATAAACTTATTCCGGAATCAAAATTAGGTGTGAATTAATTAATTAAGTTTATGAGTGAATGTAACTGGAGTAGGCTTTTCTTTATTTAATAATAACTCTAATTAAGTCAAATATTTTTTTATTTATTTAGTTTATTTATTAAATTTAGTCAGCTGTTTTTAGAATTTACTAATTGAGATCATTATAGAGTTGTACTCCAAAAAGTCAGCCACGTATTGACAACATGTTTCGATCAAATGTGACGATACAAAAAAAAAAAAATACACTTAATTAATTTTCGGGTTATGTCCCGAAATATATATTAAAATCACTAATGACATATTTTACCTC